TATATATATATATGAAAGCTGAGGAGGGATTTCTATGATTTCTACACGTCCATCAAACTGCCTGCCAGGCGGTGTGTTGGGGTTTCTGTCTCTCATAAGACGAGAACATTTCTTTTTTAACTTTTTGTTCTTTTCGGGAAAAAAAAAAGGACAAGTTCAACTTTTATCATCAGACTTTGAGAACTTATTCAGAGAACTTGAGGTGAAGGAGGAAGAGGAGGAGGAGGAGGAGGAGGAGGAGTGAACATCTGGTTTCCAGCATCTCCGTCGTCCTGCCAGCCCGGCTCGTTGCTTAGCAACAAGGTTTTTTTCAGTGCCAGCTGATGTCTGGACGCTGATGGTCGGCGGCTCCGAGTCACTCTGAAGAGAAATGAGACGGATGGAACCTCGGGGAGTCGTTGGTACCAAAGCGACCATCAGGTGGGTCAGCTATCACAGAAACAGTGAGTTTTGTTCTCCAAACATCACATCTTTCATCTTGAAGTCAAGCGGAGATCCAAAAGGTCTTCAAAGAAACTTGTTGCTCTTTAACCTCCGTCAGTGACTCCGCCCACAAGGTGTCGAAGACACACGTTGAATGTGCGTCTGTGTCGAGGAGCGCCGGCTAAGCTGCGATGCTCCTCCTCTACCTCATAACTCAGTGAAACATGAAGCACATGTTGAATCATTCAGTGTGACTTCCACTTCCTGATGACGTCATCGCCTCTGATGTCCATCAACAACAACAAACGTCCTTAAATCCACTTAGAATCACAGTAAAAAGACGCTGCAGAACTCCACTGAGAATTTTCATGTTTTTAAGTTTTCTTCTTCTCACATTAATCCAGAGATTTATTGATCTGTTAATTTATGAGTTCACTGCAGACAGGAGCTGATCACAGATCAATCGGCATACTTATCTACCTTCATACGTACCTGTAGCTGACATCACAACAGCACAGAGACCCACAGAGAGAGACCAGGTGATGTTAAATCCACCTCCACTACAGACAGAAACTCAGTCCTGATGACTTCTGTGTTGGATTAACATGAATAAGATAATTTCATTCAACACAAATCAAAAGTGAAATCATGATTTTGTCACATATTGGTCGTCCTTATAAGAGGCTTTAACTGGAGACTAAACTGTAAAGAAGTGATGTTTTCTCCTGTATTTCTTCCCCTCAGGTGACCTGAACAAACCTCTCTGTCACGGGCTTCCTCCCCCCGAGCAGAAGTCGTTTGAAGGAAAAGGAAATGAAAGGACCCTCCCCCTCCGTGCTCAGCGCACTTCACTTCCTGTTTGGATCAAGACGCTGGAAAACGAAAGTTAAATTCTGGATTCATTTCTGTATTCACAGACTTTATCGTTTATCTCGAGACCGCTCCAGAGTCTCCTCGAGGTCCTGCCGTGGGGGTCTTAACCCTCAGATTGAACACCGCCATCATCAAAAATTTAAAGACACTCCTCCCACCGCTCGGAGAATCTTTCAGAGAGTCTTTCCTGAGGGGTCCTCTCTGCAGGGAGGGCGACCGAAGCTCCGCCTGAAGCAAAGAGAGAGAATGATTCCTCAGTGAGATCAGACAGATCTCAAATGATTCCTCCTTTTTTTTCTTATTGTTGAAAGTTCTCTTTTTGGGGGAACTTCTCGTCTGAGGATCGCTGACGACTTTCATCTCCACAAGGACTCAGATTACTTTTTCAAATCGGCTCGTCGTCGTTCTCTAAAGTTCGATGTCTGTGAGTTTTATTCTCACGGTGTTTTATCTTTAACGCTGTTTTATGTTGCTGGAAATGTTTTAAAGCAAAAGAAATCGAAACTTTCAGCAACATTCTTTCCCATTTTGTCGAAGCCTTGGATTTAAAAACATCCTAATTTGTTTTTTTATTTTCTGCCTCTTTTGTTGAAGTTTTTAATTTTCTAATAATTGCCCAAAAAGCAGCTGCTGTCCTGAACTCTGTCACTGCATTTGAACAAAAAAGGACTGAAATATGGAGTCATTGTTTCTGTTCATACTTATTTTAACATCAAAGGCAAACTTTTGTCCAAATTTAGATTTCTTTTAAATACAAACAAAAAAAACTGGTTCTGTACAGCTTTCCCTCAAATTTAAAGCAAAGTTCAACTTTTTATTTTGGTTTTAAATTTCGATGAGAAAAACTACCCAAATATTTAAAATTATTCAAAAAGTTTCTGCTTACTCGGCTCGTTTTTGTCCAAATTTAAACATCTAAATTTAGAGAGGATGTCCTAAAGTGGTCAGTTGATCAGAGCTGTGATTGGCTGAGACAGTGTCCTGTTTTTTATTGATTGATGTTTTTGACTACTCTACACACACGTTTGTACTTTTATACTTGTGAGGTCCATTATTGACATGACTTCCTAAACATCACCCTAAAACCAGAAATTGTCCTAATTTTCCAAAACTGTCTTCATGTCCCAAAATGGACGCTAGTTTTCGATAATGCCTCACTTGCTGAAAAACGTTCTTTTTCCAAATTGTTTTTCACTTTCCAAATATTTCCATACTTCACAGAGAAATGTCCTAATTTTCGCAAAATTTCTTTCCGAAAAGTTCACACTTGCAAAAACTTTGTCCACAACTTTCCTGAAACTTCCTCACTTCAGAAATTTGTTTCTATTTACAAACATTTACATACTTCACAGAAACTTGACATGATGTGAAACTTTGTCCTCACAAAGATAGAAGTACAAACACACTTTTATGTTCGTTCTTCACAGTATTGAGGACAGGCACACACGCACTATGATATACGGTTTAAAAGTGTAACCACACCTTCAGTACTGCCTTTGAATTCACGTGCACGTCTTGTAAGCACACACACACACACACACACTCCCAGCAGCTCACTGCAGAACCAAACCGACTCCACTTCCTGTCTCCACCTGTCCACGTCTTCTGTCTCCACCCGTCCACGTCTTCTTTCATCTCAGACTCACCTTTCATTCACCGTATCTCTGCTCAGACATCCTCATCCTCGCAGCGTCTCTCTCCTCAATCTTCCTTCTTTTTAAGTTTCATTTGGCTTCACATTCAATAAAAACAGCAAAAGATAAAAGAGGAAGACGTCCCTCTGTCCGTCCGTCTTATCTCTTCGGTTCTTCTCTTGCTGGAGGAGCTAAAACTCTCATTACTCAGCTGTCGGCTGCAGCAGGAGAAATAAATCTGTGTCGAGTTTTTTATTTAAGTTGTAGCACAGGTGTGTGTACCTGCTATAGGTTTATATACCTGCGTTGTGGGGACACAGACCTGATTCTACACCACGTTGTGGGGACTCACCATCCGTTTCAGACAAATAAGGCAGTTTAAGTTTTTTCTTTAACGGTTGATTCTAGGTTTTAATGTTTGTTTATGTGCTCTTACACTATGGGGCACACTGACATTTAAACATACACATTGTGGGGACACACTGACATTTAAACATACACATTGTGGGGACACACTGACATTTAAACATACACATTGTGGGGACACAGTGACGTTTAATCATGCACATTGTGGGGACAAAGTTACGTTTAAACATGCACATTGTGGGGACCCTGGATTCTACCCCACATAGTGGGGACTCACTTCCTATTTCAGACTAATAAGGCAGTTTAAGGTTTTTTTTTCTTTAGGGTCAAGGTTTGTGTCTTAAGGGTGGTTTAACTCTTTTTTACATAGTGGGGACACACTGAAGTTCAAATACATGTATTGTGGGACTCAAGCAAGAGAACATACTTTTGTTTTTCCTATACTTAAGTGAAGCTTTTTTTCTGAACACAGCATTTACATTTCAACCATTTCAGCTACAAATAATCGGTCGGTTGCATTGAGAATCCAGTTTTTCATCAACAGATCCGTTCATCTGAGCTTCGTTGGCTCCTTTAGTCCCACGTCTTGATGATTCTCCTGCTGTGTGTTAATGGAGCTTGTTTTGTTTTAATTATTAGCTGCTTAATTAAAGAGCTCTGAGGTACAAATGTAAACTAGACCAAGAGATGAGCTGAATCTCTCCTACTGAATGTGAGGAGAGAAAAAATACTGTCTGCTAAATCTGAGAGAACGCAATTCTCCCAATTTCTCACCCTCTCTGTCTCCTTTTCTTTTCTTTTAATCTGTAAGATGCCGGAGACAGAAAGACGGTGAGAGAGATTTTTGGCTAAATCCATCAAGAAAAACATGAGAGAGCAGCGAAAAGAAGAAGAAGAAGAAAAAGAAGAACGAGACATCAATTAAGCCTCCGCAGATAAACACAGCAGGCCGACATCCTCCAGCAGAAAACATCAAAGAGACGTTTTCATTTATCACGAGAGCAAAATATACAGTTTAGAGACGTGAAAAAAACACAACTGTCTCTCAGTAATCGAGAGAAAACTACGAGAAACATGAGCCTGATGATCCTTTAAATCAAAAGTCCATCTATAATGTATTATCAATATATTATATTCCTTTTATGTAACTCAGCTCTGAAGTTAAATAGCGCTAAAACAATTAAACTGTCAATTCAAGTTAAATTATGATTTAAGACGGCCCCTAAAGTTTTTATTGTCTTATTATGCAGATTATTGATATTAAGATTTGATTTCTTGACATTAACTTCTGGAATTGTTGATATCACAAATGTCCTTGCATGAATCAGAAAATGGATTATATCAACTATTAGATTGTTTATATTAAGACTAGTTTAAAAACTATGATTTTTTTTTGATTGCAGCAAGAAGAAAAAGGATAAAAGTTAAAACAGCTTTAACTTCTAAACTCAATGTTTTTTAGTGATCTAAAGAAAATACAAAACACGTTTCTGTAACTCTTCAACTGTTATTGCTTCATTAAATCAATCAATTAAAACATCGATTTGCATTAATGTTAAAAATGTATATTAAGAATTGGGAAAATACTGAAAAATGAACAAACATTTATACAGTTCAAATTGTATTCTTGGTACAAAAGTATAAAAGCTGAGATGATCAAGATTCATTTCATGTGATTTCAACACATGACATGAATTTTAATTTAAAGGTTATTGTGAAAAAATTAAAAGTTAATTCTTTATTTAAATAATTTAATTTCAACTTAAACTCTTACGGCTCAATATTAATAATTACATTATTTATATTAACAACCAAACAATAACTGTTACCTTTAAATTGCACATCTGTCTTTTAAATCAATTTTTTAAATTGTTTTAAATGTTAAATTGTTAAAATTTACCAGAAAATAATAAAACGGTTAAAGGAAATAATTCAAATGATTATTAATGATTTTTATTTTTAAAATCAATCTCTATTCTTGGCCTCTCCGACCCTCCGTACTTTTATTGAACTCATCACTTTATTTCCTTCAGTCGGATTTAATCAGACTTTTGTTGAAAGAAGTTCTTATCCGAGTTGATTTTTAACTTCATAACGTTTCAGAGGACAAACTGACTTGAGAACAGTTTTTAAAAACTCAGCAGCTTGTTGGAAGAGATGCGTTTTGTCTCGTTTCTGATTCAGGTTTCAGCAAACGTTTGTGAGCGTTCGTCTTATCCCTTTAATTCTGCTGTCTGCCTTTCAGCCATCTGCATCCTCCTCTTCCTCCTCCTCCTCGCCTCCCTCTGCTTACTCATCCTCTTCATCATGCTGTCGTCCTCCCACACCTTCATCCCTCCTCCTCTGTCTCATCTTAAAGTTCACTTCAGCCCTCTTCCCCCTCTTCCTCCTCTTCCTCCTCTTCAGCCCTCTTCCTCCTCTTCCTCCTTGCCTTACACTAAGCCTGTTCACATAGGATTAGAAACTCCAGCAGCTCCATCGCTGCTGTTCTTACCCTTTAAAGGAGTTTTGGTTTCATGTTTTCTGGTGTTTGTTTGTGCACATTTTGGGAGCTGCTGCCTTCCACCTTTACTGAAGGATGGATAACTGAACCAGGGTCAGGAGGCCAAGTTTTAGGCTAAAAAGCTGTTAAATCTAAAATGTGACGTAACGTGATGCAATGCATGATGGGAGAGATTGGCCACCTGGAAGAGGAAATTGTTCAAGTCTCAAGTTGCTAGTTTTGTTTTTCTGAGTATATTTTTTAAGGTGGATTTTTCCTTTAAAGTATTTCCTGTTGAATACTTTTTTATGACAAACTGCACCTGTTTTTTATGGTCTTTTCTGTGTTGTGTTTTTCTTTTTAAGTGTCACAAAAACAAATAACCACGACTATAAATGTCTGCTGTTTGTTTTTTTGGGATCCGAGTGAATCACGCGTCTTTGCCGTGTTTTGATTTTTAAATTGAAAACATGAAACAATCACTGTCTGTGATATTTTCTTAGTCTTTACACTGTTATTGTTGTCTTTTATCAACGCAAAGGTTTTAGTTTTGATAAATTATTCAAGTAGGCGCTTATGAACTCTTTTATTTTGTTAGGTTTTTTATTTTTATTATTTTTTGTCTCTGCACTCAAAAACAAACCAAACAGGAAAACAACAGTTTCAACACATCGTATAAGAAAGAAAGTGAACTTCACAATTAAAGTCCACCACTGTCAATCAAAGTCAAATCACTGAAACCTTTTAATTTGAAAATCATGATCGGCTTTCTTTGTCTTTCTGAATTTACAAACTCAAGAACTTTAAAGTTAATTAAAAAATTAAAACTTCTTTGTTGGAAAAAGCTAAAACGTGAAGTTTCACATTTAATAGAAGCATAAAGCACGAAATTTAGAGTGGTTTTCAAAATCAAATATTTCAATACTGTGGTTTTGTGTGTGCATGATTTTCAAAGTAAATTGTTTCAATGTTAAGTTCAAGTTTTAAAATCAAGTCTGTGAATTGCAAAACACAAAAAAAAATTCCAAATAACAAATTTCAAAGTATGAATAATTTTATTAAAATATTGCAGTGGTTTTGAAATATATCATGGATTTATTTCCTGTCATAACTGGGAATTACGTTAAATTAGGACCAGATTATTTTCATTATTCGGCTTTCTGTTTTTCTACAGTGTAGATGCAGGTTGTGTGTATCAGTGTGTGATCAGAGCTCCTCTATATTTTCTACGTGGTTGAAAGTTGTGTCAAATCTGAAGTGTAGATTTCTCTTCCTGCCTTCTGTCTGAGCTCTTTTATGAGTCCGCGCTATTGTTTTGTAAAGAAATAAAACTTCCTCCTGTACCAAACTTTATTTTGAAAGTGTACTTTTTTCCGTACGTGAGCAAGTACAAATAATTCAAACCTGCTCGTTTTCTTTCTTTTCACTAAAACTTGAACTGTTGACTTGAGAAAAAATACGCATTGATATTGACTTTGAATCCTGCTAGCATAACGTTAGCTTTGTGACTTAAACTAAGACAAAAGGTTCTATGAGCTGAGCGGACTAGAAGTAGTCGTATCTGAGGTCCGTCCTATTTACTGGAGTAGTGAACGTTCCCATTGCATAAGAACCTTATAGGATGGTGATGATTGTTCCAAGTTTAGCAAACACTCAGGGTAACCAGGTAAACGAAGTGAAGGGATTGTGAAAAAACTTAAGATTTTGTTTGCAAAACAAATGAAAAATACAAATTAATGGTCTGAATTAAATTTGTGTTTTTTCTTCTTTGTCAAGAATTGGATTGGATGATTCTGGCCTCCATGACGTCCATTAATTCTTGACATGAGACATCTTCTCGGGTATTATCCATTACGTAATTTATGCAATTACCAAAAAGCTCCAACGAGTTTTCCTGAATTTAAAAAGCTGGTTTCAGGTCATTTCAGTTTCATTTTCTCTCTAAACTTGTGCTAAGTTGAAAACAGCAGATTCAACCATTTAAAAGGAAGATTACAAAATAAGCCGCTGAACAGCATTTCGACATTAAGCTGCTTCAAACTGTCTCTATGTTTAGACAGTCATATGGAAATCTTAATATTAGCCTGTACTTCCATAATCTGCATGCGTCCGTGTGACTCATCATACATGAAGGCTGACAGATGGCCGATGGGCGGAGGGCAAAATACAACAAGCTGTTACTAAAAATGTCATTTAAGGAGAGTTTTATTCCCCCGCACACATGAATATTTACTAGAAGTGATAAATTAGTGCGTCGTCGAGAGATGAAGAACAGAAAGTCCAATGAGATGTTTGTGATATTTGATTTCCCTCTTATCTTTTATTTCTGATCTTAACACACGAAGATGGTGGACTAAATTCACAGTCCTCATTAACCACACATTCTGTTTTAGATTGATTCCTTGGTGATCGGTGGTCCGAGAGAATGCATCACACACTTCAACTGCTTTCACTTTCTGTTATTTGACTGCTTGTCTTTTTTCCTTTCCACCTTCCCTCTTTCCTTCCTTCCTCCCATCCTTCCCTCCCTCCTTCCTTTCTTTCTTCATCTGTCTTTTAGTGATCAGCGGTCTGAAAGAAGGTCTAATTTCATGCACTTCAACTGCTTTCATTCTCTGTCGGTATTTGATTCTTCTTCCCTCCCTCCTTCCTTAATTTCTTTCTTCTGTCCTTCCTTTCCTTTGTTGATCAGTCCGGGAGAAAGTCCAAGGTCATACGCTTCAACTGCTTTCACTTTCTATTGTAATTTGACTGCTTGTCTTCTCTCTGTTCCACCTTCTCTTTGCTTTCTTCCTCCCTTCTTCAAAGCCTTCCTTTCTTCTTTTGTCCATCTTTCCTTTAGGGATTGGTGGACCGAGTGAATGTCCAAGGTCATGCGCATCAATTGCTTTCACTTCCTATTGAAATTTGATGATTCTCTCCCTCCTTCCTTCCTTCCTCCCTTCCTTATTTATTCTCTCCTTTTCTTTCCTTTGGTGGTTAGTGGTCCGAGATAATGTCAAAACTCATACGCTTAAACTGCTTTCACTTAATTTTTCATTTAACTGCTTGTCGTCTTTCCTTACCACCAACTCTCTCACCTTCCTTCCTTGCCTCCTTACATCCTCCCTTCCTTCCTTTCCCCATCCGTCCTTTCTTTGATGGTCATACACTTCAACTGCTTTCACTTTCTGTTGTAATTTGATGCTTCCCTTCCCACTTCCATCATTTCTTGTTCTTTGCTACTCCTTTCACTCACTGCCTTTACTTCCTGTTTTCATTTGATTCTTCCTGTGTACTTCCCTTCTTCTGTGTCCTTCCATCTCTCCTTCTGTATTGCTTCTTTTGACACACACTTCCACTGCTTTCACTTATCAAACTGAGCTGAATATCTTTTTGTGTTTTAGACTGTTTGAAGTCATCATCTTGGACATTCTGATGGACATTTTTCAGGATTTCTTTTGAGGAATCCAATGAGACATTCTTGTAGTAAAATGTCCCGTCAAATCTGAGAGGAAACGTAACGTCATCTTCCATCAGGTTGTTGAATAAAGAGTCCTGAGAGATAGAATGATGAATCAATGTGTCCATAATGTGAATCTACTGTAACTTGAATGTGTTTTATGGTTCAGCAGCGTGACCTGAGGGATGATTAGAGATGTTTCATCAAGTAATGAGCAGCTGTGGGACCTCGTCTGCTATGAATCAGGGAACACTTCCATCGTATGTGGCTGTTCGACGTATCGATCAGCTGCCTCGTCAATAAATGAAAAGAACCTCCAGCGCAGTGATGAAATCCTCCTCTGATCCTCGACACGCTCTGATCTCTGATCAGTTCAGCTGTTTGAAGATGAAGAAATACAGTTTTTGCTTTTTTATCTTTGTGGTGGTCGTACGTGTCTTTTTGGTGGTTTCGAGTCTCTTTGTGGTGGTTTTAGTTTCTCTGTGGTGGTTTTGAGTCTTGATGTTGTCGTTTTGCCTCTGTCTCTCTTAATTTCACTGCTATCTAATAATTATCTGACATATATAATTATGGCAGTATGAGCGGTGTTGGACTGATGACAAGACAGACGTGGACATCTTTAGGCCTTGTTTCCAGCATGGCAGAAACATGAGAGACAAAGCAGTGCATGATGGGAAGTATTGCCCTCATTGGTGCACAGTCTCTCTCTCTCTGTCTCTCTCTCGCTCTCTCTCTCTCTCCCTCTCTCTCTCTCTCCGTCCTCTCGTTCTGTCCTTCGAGGTCCTGATCAGAAAGCTGCTCAGGGTTTCATCTGCTTCATTAAAATGCTTCGCCCTCAGGCGGCTGCGTCGCTTCACAAGCCTCATGCATTTATACAGGTGTTAGATAAGGTAAGCCCAACACACACACACACACACACACACACACACACACACACACACACTGTAATCAAGGTAAAGCCTGGCGAGTCAGCACAGACCTGCAGCAGGGTTTGAGAGGAGAGTCATCTCACTCTGATGTTTGATTTTTCTCTATTTGAATATTATATCTGACCTGTTGTGTCCTGTTATCTACAGAGTCTCACTTGTTTCAGATCATTTCAACTGTCCAGTAGAAACCACACATCTCCAGATGTTCCTCGAACAGCTGCTGGAACTAGAAAACTTCTGTCTAAAAGCACAGAAGAAGAAGCAAAACACTGGTAGTTGATTAGTTTTCATGGATGTTTTGTGGGTTTTATTATCCTGATTAAACGTAAACACTCTTTTTCTGTCTTTTTAATTAAACTCTATTAAATTCAGTTTAATTCCTTATCAGCGCAGCATGTTAATGTCCTCGTTAAGGCCTCAGTGATGATAATAAAACCACCAACCAAACATTTTGTTTTTTTATCTGCGTGATGCGTTTAAAACCTGAGCTGCTGAATTATCCCACGAGGGTTTAAAGGTTTAACTCCTTCACAGTGGACTGCTTTAATTCGGATTTGAAGGGACTGAAAAGTGAAAATGAGATACCTACAGGTTTCCTCTGTGGTGGCTGAATATGGTCATTAATGCTCATGAAAAATAGAATATTATTATTGCACTTTATTTCTCAGCCTGCATTTAAACCACCGGGGAAAATAATCCTGTCATTTTAAACCTTGAACTGGTTCATTCTGGTTGCTTTTGACTTGCTATTCGTCCATTGTTTACAACAATCTCCTTTTGTTCATCACAACATTCAGTTTGTTAGTTTTGTACAAAGCTGCTCGGAAGAACGTTCATACACTAAAATACAACAGAAATATGTGAGAAATAAAACTCTAAAACATTCCATTTACATGTTAAGTGATTTCATCATTTATAGTGAAAGACTGTGACTGTGAGTCTCTGAAAATAATAGCTTTGAAAATGTTGTTTTATGTAAATTTGCTGTCTACAGACATAAATCAGGATGAGTGACGATCAAACAGGAATATATTTTACTATCACATAATGGTGCCAGTTGCATCATAAAAAAACAATTCATATTGTTTCCAATAAATAATATATCAAGAAAAGATACAAGACGAGTCAACAGTGATAAATAATCACAATAAAATCATTTTCTAAATCATAACTAAACATTTAAAGGTTTGTGGCAGCGATAATCATCCTGACTTCTACTCGTTTTATTATATTGCTCTTTAAAATAACTTGTGTTTTACACAGAATCACAGGTTCTTTTTTATGTATTAGGTTTGTTTTTGATAGAGATGTTCAGATAATCATTGTCCCTTCTCAATACTGGTTTGATACCTGAACTTGGAGAGGAGTTCTGGTCTCTGGATCTTCATTAGAGCAGAGTCTCCCTCTAGTGTTCATCAACACAAACTACAAACACAAAGACAGAGACAGAAGTCTTTGTCCCTTGATGACATTACAGTTTGTTTTTTACACACAACCAGCGCTGTAAGAAGTATTCACATTGTTTACTTCAGTAATACTGACACCACATTACAAATACTCAATTACAGGTCGAAGTCCTGAATTCAAAAGTCTAACAGCAATGCCAGAAAAATTAATTTAAAAGGTATTTATGGATGAATTTAATATAATTTAATCTAATGCAGCACAGTCCACCTCTGTCTCCTAGGTGAAATGCTGGTAATGCAACTTTAAATAGCAAGTTTACACCCTTTCTCTGTTTTACTTCACATCTTTGTACACTACATTGGATGTGTTTTGAACACCTTTTAGATCTCCAAACTGGTAATGAATAGAAAAGATTAGTATAATATTGGCAAGCATCAACTTCAGCTTCTCCAACAGGCTAACATCAATGTTTCTCCAACAGGCTAACATCAATGTT